CAAAGAAGAAGACGAAGAAGAAGCAAACTAATTAGTACTGAATGTTACTCATTGCTTATCAAAGCAAATAAAATCGTTATGATATTTAAGGTGTTAGAATAACTGAATTATTATTATTACAGGTGAAAATACACACGTATCTTAAAAGTATGAGCAACATTTATTATTGTGTAACGGTTGGTGATACTAACCACCAGTTGCTTAGTTTGGAGTAGGTGAAGTGGAACTTCTAAAGTAACTTTTAACGCCAATTGTACTGTTCCAGTTTTAAACTTCAAAGGTAGTAGAACTTACTGACGTTGGCAATTTGTTCTATTCCTTTACGTTCCAAGTGGAACATAGGGCTTCTAGCTAGGACTTTGAAGTTTCGTTAGCAGTGGTTATTTGTTTTCACGGGGTGGGGTTTCTAGCCTCATGCCCGACCTTCCTCTCTTTACCAGCCTAGTGAGTTGTAGGAGTGTGTCGACCGGGAATCGAACCCCGGATCACTTGAGTAGCTGAACCACTGACTTAGGCATTTAGTTTTAACTAATAGACGTCGAATAACTCTCTACCAAAAAGTTTAAAGAATCAGATAGTGTAGCTCATTTTATTATGTTGCCACTGCTTTGTCAAAACATTCATTATTTCGCCACTGGTGCGTCTAGTTATTGAACAAGAAAATAGTTTTGAGGTACGTGGCCTACCAGAATCACTTGTTAAAATAGCTTGGATGTTGGATAGCAGACAAACTTAGAAAAAAAATCAATACACCTTAGTCATCTCGTGTGATTGAATGAGTTTCCAACATTGCATAAAAGTATGGTAGACCAACCTGTCTCACACTCCGTGTACCAAACAAAGATAGAGATCAAAAATTCAAAAAAAAACTATAATGAAGAGCAATGTACTGAAGGAAGAATTACACGGAGTAACCTGAGGACTTGATTTATCTGACAGGTTACAAGGAGTGGAAGCATCCCCGCCAACGGGAACTATTTTGAGCCATATAGCACTAACAGTCGTAAACTACTGGTTCCTGGCATCCTGAGAACTCCACTCTGGAAGTCTACAGCTCCCTGAGTGGCTCGGACTGAAAGTCAAAGACTTCATGGTTTGATGCAAGATCTTGATTAAAATTACCATCAACTCTTTTCACATCTAATCCTATGTCAGCTGACATTGTACGGTATGCGTAGGCCATCCCGTGTGTGTGTGATTTTGTGTACTTGGCATGAAGTGTCACATTTTCTTGAGGATTATTAATATGACATGGGTGGTAAAATCTCGCAGATCAAGCTGTGTGGATGTTTAGTATCAACATCCACAGGCTATGGCCAAAAAAGTGTTGGAAATGAAGTAATTATTCAATTTTTTGTTTTGTTAACCGAATTTACTACTTAGTTACAACTTCTCATGAAATGAAACTCACCGTTTTACTAAAATTCGAATAGGATTAGTCATGAACTTTGATGTCATTTCTAATATCTCGTGTGGCATAGTAGCTGAAAGGAGAACCACTTGTGTTCCAGGAGGTAAATATCGATAAACATCATAGATTTGTTCTTTGAAACCTTTGTCTAACATTTCATCGGCTTCATCGAGAACAAACAATTTGACTGCTCTTGTCCGTAAACTACGACGACGTATCATGTCTACAAAGTTAGAACATTAACAAAAATAAAAGATTCTTTAAGCATAAGTGAAATTGAATGCATTGTGGAGATTATACAGTACGTCTTTAACAGTCACAATTATCAGTAGCGTACTCCTCACACGTAAGAAAGGAAACTAATTTGAGAAACATACTAGTTTAACTGATAAAGCAAATCCTAACATGATCAGAGAGCAGCAGTTAAGCATTCATAGGTTACTTATTCTTCCTTATGTATTTTTATGCTCTACAGATTAGATTATTGAATAAGGGACTAGTGGTCAGTGACAAATTATCATTTTTATAGGTTAATCAAATATATACACATATATTCAAGTTACTTCCCCAACACACAGATTTGTGGAGCTGTGGTCCACTTGTCTAGGCACTTGACTACCGACAAGTGAGCTAAGGGTTCGAATCCAGCTTGACTCACCTACCAAGGTTTGGACAGGCAGTTGGTATCATCAACCTTCACATAACAGGTATGACTCATTTCCATCTGCATGGAAACCATCTTGCATGGTTGTTGATTAAGATTTCTTTTTGAATATATCTACTGTTTTAATGTCTCGCTCTATCTGATTTTACGAATGTTCTATTTCCCTAAGCCTGAGTTCTGCAACTTATTTAGCGTTTAGGAGGGATTTCCCACTTCTCCAACATTATTACAATAAAGATTTCAACGAAATACACTTGAAAAAGAGATATCTTTATTTTTTTTCATTATTTTTATTTAGAGAGCTAAATGTTGGAATAGATATTACTGCTCTACAAAGAATAGATTACAAGTAAGAAAGTTTGCATTTAAATGTCAATAAAAGCACTGTGTTAACAGTGGACTGAGCGACGACCCGTCCAAACCGCCAGTCATCAGCTTGACGTCAGAGTCAGGCTTGCATATCCTAATGACCCAAACAAGTTAAAATAGCTGGATTAAACGTTCTTATAGGTAGCTACTTACCACTCCAGAAAACCCTCTTGAACAATGGCTAGACTAAGAGCAGTTGCCGTCATAGTGTAACCAGTTAGGGGGTACAAAAGTGTAACAATAGCATGGTGTTTTCCCAAGACGACCAGCAAGCTAGCTAAACTGCCCTTCTTTTGGGTAGGGTGAGAGGAGAGAAGGTCAACCCTAAAAATTATACGTTCCAACTTACCCTGTGGCGGTTCTCAAAGGACCGCAAGGGCTTCATACGGACAACGCCAAACTGACTGCGTATGATCAGTCTCACTCAGATGTTTATGGGCTGTGCAGTCACGCAAATCTAGTGCCTTCTGTTTCAGATATTTTAAGAAATCAACTTTCATGGTGTGGGCGCCGGGAAGTATTCACTACCCACATATTCCCATAAGCGTACCCAGCTTCCAAGCAAGTGATGTATCTTCCTCAAAAATAAATACAAATACACTGAGAATGAATGCGTCTTCAAGAAGTCTACAACTGCATGTGGTTCAAGCCAACAGCTAACGACGTTATGGATTAATGTCATATTTTGGTTTGACCAACTTCGATTCTTTTCCAACATAATCCTAGTTCATTTAACGTTGCTTTTAATGGAAGACATCGACTAGTCATACATAATAGGTGTTTTTGCCAACTCAATTATCAAAGTTCCATAATCACATCAATCGATCTAGTCTTTTACACCAAACACTAACCATGAGAGGAGTGAAATATAAACACTTAGTCAGAATCATATAATCTTCCCATAATTTGTATATCACACTGGTTCAATGAGAAGAAATGGGAGAGCGACCATTTCTTAAAATGCCGCAAAATTCAAAAAGTTCATTTAGATGGTAGCAAAACTAAAAGCAGATACCATAATAATGTAAACTACCTGCACCAAAGTTTTAAAGCTGAATCATACGGCTAAATAAAATGTAATTACAATAAGGTGTCTTCCTTGAATAATAACTAAGCTAAGGTGGACCATAGCTGGAGATGAGATTTCTGATACGAACTAACAGAGCTTGTTAGAAAATTGACAAATATAAATTTAACAAACACGTTAAGATAAGAATTATTAGTCGATCGACTAGCCCACTTATTTGAGTTCATTAAATGAGAACAACCTGGATAAAAATATATGAACACACACCCTATGGTTAACTTGGACTATGGACTTGGGCTAAAAGTGTTAGATACCAGTCTTCACACCAAACTGTTACACTTCATTTCGTTGTCTTCATTTTTACAATAGGCTGACCAGTAAGCTGCATATCAAAACCCTGTTACTAATCTCAGTTTAAAGCATTCATAACTATCCCGTTAAGCTTCAAAAAGCTGTCTAGATGTTGGAAGACTACAATTCTAACTGCTCACTAGAACGTAAAACTGAGTGTTCACGATCGAACAGTGACCGGATGCAAAGTTATGCGCAGTATTCGAAGACAAACATACAAACATACCGTGTAACATTAAATGTACTTACCGAATACACGACCTGGAGTCCCAGATATTACATGCTGCCCATAATCCAGCTTTCGGATATCTTCCCCAATATTAGTCCCACCGTAACAGGCATGACATTGAACATTCATATAATCACCTAACGCAAGAATTACTTTCTGTATTTGTGAAGCTAATTCGCGTGTTGGAGATAATATAAGAGCTTGAGTTTCTCGCAACTGTGTATCCAACATTTGTAAAATAGATATACCCAGCGTTGCTGTTTTCCCAGTTCCTGACTGAGCTCTGAGAAAAAGGTTATTTAAGAAACACTTACTGAGCTATAACGTCTCGACCTTTTACTATCTGTTTTATGGCTCTCTGTTGGATAGCTGATGGCCGTTCAAAACCTACCAAAAAGCATAAAGAATAATGGAAGTTCTTACCGTAAGCGTATATCCCACGTAACAGATCATCTCGAAGACACATTGAGTCGAACGATGGAATCACATCGATATTTTCCGATGTTTCAAACTCTACATTCGTTAAATCATCTTCGTTATGAATTCTTTTGGAAGATCTCTCCATTAGTCAGACTGTAAAGCGCAAAAAGAGGACATGCAAATTAACTGCTAGGCAAAAATATAGCAATAAGAAAACGAAGACAATGGAGCTAAAGTCATATATTTGTACTAAAACTAAATACTATCAATATTTCCAGGGGTCTTGACCAGGTGGAATCTTTTTGTCGCGGTATAATGCTGTTTTACCCTTCAATCGATCATTGTCAGGAAGTAGACGAGTGAGTGCATAAACCGTTGTAATTCCTCCAACGAACCCCAAGCCAAAAAGCACAGACTTTTGCATGCTGCTCAACTTATACGCACTGATCATTTTTATCCTTTAATTTCTGTGGGCCGATGTGCTACATTATCATAACAACTTACTTTGTACCTTTCGCAAGCTTGGTAGTCACTGTAGATAATATACGCTGTAAAACAAGGTGCAGATATTGAAATGAAGTTTCTGCGAAGTGATCTGGCAAAACCAGAAAGGAGCATCTACGACCATAAAGAAAGGAAAATAATACAACATGACATACCTATACAATCAAACAGCAAGATGTCAAGGTCAGTTGAGACTAAAGGGTTGGCGAGGTGTATAATGTCCAATATCCTAATCACATGTATTTGATAGACTAATTGAGTCTTTAAGCGTTTTACTGGTTACTATTCAGTACTTAAACCTACTCTTGGTCTCTGACAAACAACACTGATAGATCTATAAATACCACACCCATATATATTTACCAAGTTTATCTTTTGTCTTCATCTGGATGATGAATTCATGCCCGACCTTCCTCACCACTCCCTGTTCATAGTTCATCCGGACACCCAGCATACCAGGAATATTGTTAATTTGGAAGGCGTTCGGTTGTATATTCTAAGAAGGCAGTGCCGGCCTGACTGGAGTTCACATCCCTATTTAATTCTTTCGCCTGAAATATAAAAAAATACAAATTAATAATAGTACATTTGTAGGGGTCAACCCCAGGCAAAATCTAAAGCTAAACTCCGTAGAGATATGAGTGACTTCTGAAGGCAGCTTGATAGAAGTCTTGTACTGAACGGATAGGGAATGACATATTCAGTAATAGAAGCAATACCACATTAACTATTATGGTATATATCAAGTGGTGTTAGTAGTTGTGTAACCCAGGCACACTAATGAGCAATTTATGTGAAGCTTCCAACATAACTCGTGATAGGTTCGGTATAATAACACAGCTTTCATGGAGTTCCGATGTCGCTGACCTAGACTTAGCAGTATTCTGCATAGACTTGCTGTAAAAGGCATGACATAGTAGCTAACCACAAATGAAATGTCAGGGGAGATGAATGTCATAGCAAGAGAAAACTATTCAGTAAATCCAATCCAGTCTTCGACGGTGCCAGTCTCTGGTAAAAATAATGAGATATTCAACTTTGACTGAGATGAACCCCCAAAATTCTGATGCTGGCAGAAAGATTACTCGTAGAAAAAGAAAATATGGTCAAAAGCAAACGAAAAACAACGACAGGAAATTCAACTTCATGCTTTGGCTGTCAAAAGAGGCTAAACGGTGCATTGGTGGGAGCCACAACCATAATATATCTTAATACAGATTCTCCTTTTGCATTAATGGTAGGTGCATCCCAAGGGACTGTAGGGGTAGTTCCTAGTCACCAAGTTTACAATGTCTGAGAATCTGTCGCATGCATCATAAGTGGCTCAATCCTGCCGAAATGACCCATTCTACGTTCGGCATAGAGTTTCTGGCAAGCTCCCAATGATACAAGGCAACTGAGAGTTCAGAATGCACATGAATACAGTGCAACGAACCACAATACACTTCAAGCACTGGCTGAGAATCGGAATGACATAGAGAGTTAAGGCAAATCTAAGGTGGAAACAGCTCGTCTCAAACTCGAACAATTACTATCTCGTGTAAACGGTGACTTGATAAATAGCAGCAGAGTATGAGATTCACTCAGTCTCTCCTTCCCTAGGATTATGGGAAAGACTATACTTGGTGACTTTCATTAGTTATCGTACTCTGCAGCGAAAGCCTAAGCTAAATCTATCCTGACAAGATCTATTTGGTCAAACCTACAACGCGATGCATAGAAGTAGGAGACAGGATGCATAGTACGCTAGACGGTGAAAGTAAGCAGACATACAATGTCACCTTTGGGAACATTCTCGTAACTGAATGCTAGTTTCGCCTATATTCATGTGAACTGGATAGGTCACCTGCGATACCATAACTGACTCACTTACCTATTCACATGCATTGGTAGATTCATCAGGTTCCTAGTAGCTGCTTCACTTACCGATTTCACGTCGGAAACAGCAGCAAAACCCTTTCTTTAACAATATGTAGCCATGTTCAAGCGACCTGCAACAGTCGCAGCTGACAGGAAAGGTCATTTCAAGCCACAGCTTTTCAAAAACTTGACGAAGTACCTTGGATCACATAAAATCATCTGCACAACATGTCATCCTCAAGTCATAGAACGCATTGATATCTAATTCTAACCCATTCGCTATGTAGGATTCCTATCAGTGATAATGCCTGACATCTGAACATCAATGAAAAAATGCTGAATGTTCAGCTGAGGGGATGGCATTCGGAACAGCAGTGACATTCTCTGGCGATTTTATTACCATTAGTAGTGAAAACAAACTTGATCAGGCTACATATGTTAAAAGGCTTCGACTACAAATGACTCACTAAAGGCCGACTTCAAAACAAGAAACGTCAATGGAGCCATATATACCTAGGGCCTTCAATTCCTGTTTCTATGTATTCACGCCAAACTTAATTGCTTTGTTTTCCTATGTAGTTGGGAGCAAATTCCGACAGGGATTAAACAGTCTAGGTGACTGGAGCAGAAAGTAGCGAATGACTCACTTCCAGTGAGTGCTTGGAATCAAAGCATGTATATATATATGTAAGACAATCTGCCTCCTCGACTATACGCAGCCAGAACTTGGCATAGCATTCCTATTTAACCTTTTATGATCACGGAAATAAGGTGGTTTCTGACTTTCAACGAATTACTGTCTTCGCCTTGCACAATTTCATGCACAGTATGGTTTGACTAGCAAATGGGGTATGTTGACATGTGTTCAACTGAAATTAGAGCCCCTATAGTTAGGGAAAGTGAAGTGTAAGTTATTTCCTCTATCCGAAGTTGTTAGAAAACGCTGTCATGGTCATTCAACCTCAGCATGGGCCGATCTTAAATATTATCAGTTACACAACCACGACTGCATTCTCAAGATAATTACCCACAAATAAAACGCTCGGGCTAACTTTTTCGTTATTTTTCTGTTTCAACCTTTGAGACCAAGTGACTTCTGAAGCTAGATTTTATAGAGACACCAGTCAGCCAAAACGGAGCCTAGTAAAACACGTTAGCATGTCCTTCCCGGCTTGTCTGAAAGGTCACACCTGTTGGTAGTAAGGCAGAACAAGGACGGCCCAGTCTTTAACTAAGGTAAATATATCAATCCCACTTTAACCAGTCCACTACGTGGTACCAATCAGTAGCTAAGGCTAATGAAATTGTCAAAAACCCTTGTGATCTCTCCACATTTATGCAGTTGTTAGCTGACAATATTGTGTGACTTATTCAACACATCCATCTCCACTTTACCGAGTTTCCTTAGTGAGTGGGCCTAGTGTAGTTACTCCTAGAAAATATATCTTGGTAACTTTGCCTTCTATGAGTAGTACAATACATCCCAGTGTTCCTTGTAGAAATGACTTCATTCAGTCAAGAAATACCTATTTTTCCCAGACTTCTATGAAACGTACAGTTTTTATTGGAATTTCTTTCATAACATCCTCCTCATAAGATACCTAGACTGGTTGTTTTACGGTGTCTAACTCCCACCAGATAAAAAGCGGTCATGACAATTTGGCATAACAAGTTCCGCTATCCGGTTGCTTCCCATAAGATCATTACACCCACCCTCCACACCAACTCCTCCACTGATCACTTCAAGCTGCCCCATAGACCATGACTAAATTTGATGTAGCATTGTCCGCTTCTTTACTATTTGTCTTCGAAAACACTCAGCTTCCTAATCATTTTCAGCAGCCTGTCTATGCATTTATGAGGATAATACTTCTCCATTCACATGTATCTGTGTCAGGTGACCTATAGGGAAGCATCTGTCCTGAAAGCTAGTGACATGTTAAGTCTTGCATGAATAAGGCGGGCACGAAGCAATGTTACTACAACGGTTTTGCAGTAAAATTACTGGAGCTCAACTTTCCAAAACGAGGCAGGTGGTGGATGTTGATAGGCAGGTATGCGGCGGTCACAATTGTGAATGGCCCCAACATGTAGGACAGCAATCTTCTGACGTAGTTGTGTTCTCTGAGCTGGATGGTTTATTTGCGAAGCTTTCATTGCCTGCTAGGCAACATCTTCAGTGCATACTTCAATTTGAAGCGAGCTTCTAGATTTCTTCACGAGTTTATTAGTCATCTCTCCTGGTAGGTGACCTTGCACGATATTGGTTGTCCTTGTGTTTTCACATCGTCTAGTCTACTTGTATATAGGTACTGATTGTTTGCTTGACCTAAAGTTTGACTTTTTCTGCGTGAGGACTTCCTCTTATGGATTGGTTAATTTTATCTATGTCAATCTAGCTGTTAACTGCCAATTCACTGGAATACCAGGCTTCTAAAAATTCTTTCGGGCTCTTGGCGCTTGCACCGTTTTATATTTGAATGTTTTCATAATCGAACTGATTTTGTGGTTGTCTGTATGTAGCGATATGAGGGAGCGGATGTCCTGTCTTCTGACGGCTAGTATATGTTCACAGACACGAAGACTAAGAGGAAGTCCAGTTTGGCCAATGTGGTGTTCTTTTAATCGTTGCAAATTATTTTGTGGATGATGTTGGTTTTCTGTGTTGAGTCTTTTGGCTGACGTATATTTATTTATTTATTCCTGTTTATGCAGGAACATACCAATTGTACAGGCATGGATAAGTTATTATATAAATTACAGTTTGTTTGTTCAATCTAACATTAGAGTCAGTCAGAACAGTCTGCAAAATAGTCTGTCTGTGTAACACATAAAGAGATATAGAAATATTGTCTTCGCATTAACAAAAAACCCAGACTTCAGATGAGTGTGATACAAATATCTGGGAAAAATAAAGCTTGAAGTCAGTTCTCCTATATAACTTTGTTGTGAACAGCATCCGTGAGATAAAGTTTATTGATGTATTATTTTGATTCAATAATGTATTTGTTCCATTTTTGTCAGCAGTCTTATCGTAGTTTTATAATAGGAAAGAAATTTCATCTTTGATACGAAAATTAGATAAGGTAATGTTAGATTGTTTTACTGCATCAAATGGGATCAATTCTAGAACTATCCATTTGCGCCATTTGCGTCAGCATGGCAGACTGTACATGTAAGTTGAGTAATTCATTGAAAACCAGTTGTTTCTTTATTTCAGATCAAGAATACTCCTTGTACAGAATGTTAGCCAGCGTTTTCAAGTGGTTGCATCGGATCGTTCATGGAATTTGAGTTTGAATTTACGTAAATGGTCATTTCAGTTTAGATGTTGGGTTGTTCGACCTCAACCAGGAGGTATATAGAAGATTACGCTCAGCAGGGAGATAAAGTATGTAAATATGGAGAGAATATTATTATTTTATGTACATATAAATGTTTATAAATGTATATCATTGTATAGTAAACACTACCCGTAATCTAGTTGTTTTTCATGTAATTTTGCGAAGTCTTAGAGTTTATTTAGTGTCGTAATATTTAGTAATGAGCCTAGGCGTTATAGTGTTCTAATAGCTCATGTGTTTTAGAAATAAGTGGTGCGGTGTGATTGGCATAGTCATTGGGATGAAGCAGTTTATATAGCAAGCGTTTGAAGGTTATAATAGAGTGACAGGTCCTTATTTCTAGGGGTAATCTGTTCCAGATCTTAGAGTACATGACTGTGAAGAAGTTTGCACGGAGTGTTGTCTTACAGTTTTTCCTAGATACTGTGCACGTTTGGTTACGAAGGTTGTAAGAGCCTTCCGGTGAGAACTGTATCTCCTTGCTGTCTGAGAATGATATTTTATGCAAGACTTTAAAGAAGAATGTTAGGTTAATGCTCAGTCGTCTCATCCAGAGTTGGTCGATACCTAGAGTTATACACCTTGATGTGTAGTCCTTTTCGCAGTCAAATCCTAGTAGTTTAGACGTGGAGTATCGTTGGACACTTTCTATTTTAAGTTTGTCACTTACGCGAGTGCTGATGAGAATAAATGGACAATATTCAAGTAGTGGTCTGACACAAGTTTTATATAATAATAGCTTCGCCTCGTAGTTGTGGAAATTCCTGAGTATGCACCCTAGGAGCATCCTCGATTTACGCGTCTGTGTCGCCACTTGCTCGGAAAATGTCAAGTCACTAGAGTACCTGAGTCCTAGGTCAACAACACTTTGGAGTTTAGGCAAGTCAAGAGATTCAAGTACTAGTTTAATGTTTATTGAGGGTGCACCGAAACAGATCCAACCACATTTTTTAAGGTTGAATTTTAGGTTCCATGTGGAGGACCATGCAGTTACTCGGTCTAGTTCTTCCTGAACAGCTTTCTGAAAGTACCCTAAGTCATCACAGTGGAATGTGTAAGCTACTTTAAGATCATCTGCGAAGATGAATGGTTTGCCAAGTGAGAAACAGCTGCATATGTCGTTGACATATAAAGTGAATAGGAGGGGGCCTAAGACGCCACCTTGAACTACTCCAGAAGTGACTGGACTAGGTTTAGAGTTTACAGAACCCAGTCTAACTACTTGGGACCTATTGTTAAGGAATGATTCAATCCATCCTAATAATGGGTTACTTATTCCTAAAGAGTTTAGCTTATTTATTAGAAGTAGATGGTCAACGCGGTCAAAGGCTTTGGATATGTCGAAGTAGATGACAAGTACTAGTCGTTGTTTGTCTCGGCTGCTAGTTATATAGTTAAAGAAGTCAAGGTGACATGTCATGCATGATCTGGATTTTAGGAATCCATGTTGGTTTGGACCTAGAATATTGCAGCTGAGCATATGTTTGAGGATATCATCTTTAACTATTCGTTCAATGATTCTAGATACTATGGGTGTAATCA